ATACAGTATCGTTTCCGCCACAATTATAGCATTTAGTCGACTGTCTATCTTGCCGCTGTGGACGGTGTCGTTGTTGGTGATGTTTTCTGATTGTTTGCACTCGCACTTGGGACATTTCTTCCTTCCATTCCAGTTCTCGAACGTAGTTTCCTCGCTGAGCGCACGACGGCTGAGCCGAGCTGAAGTGCTACCATGTATTATCTGAGACTTGACCTCTTGAGATTTATCGGTGAAATCAAAAGTGTTCGCCAAACGTTGTAAGCGAGTGTGAAATGCATCAATTGACTCACCTCTGTTCTGCAGGCTATTTCTGAATACATATTCAATGTTTCGTTTTGATGAGAAATATTCTGTTAACTTGATTTGGGCAGTTTTAAAATCGCTTCCGGTCTCTGATAGCGTATCAAAAACATCGTCTACTTCTTCACCTGCCCAGTGTAGTAACAGCGCGCGCTGGCGTTTGTCGTCTGTGATGTTGAAAGCAACAAATGCATTTTCCACCCTGTTCAGGTACTTCTTCCATCTTGTACTTGTTGTTGGATCGGAGTGAACTGGGAAAATCGGTAGTGATGGTGAACTCTCCATCCTCGTCGCCAAAATAATGTAGTACAAGGAGACAACTTTCGTACAGTGTGTACAGTGACTTGGTGTAACGGTCAAGTGCCGGAGCCTCGATTCCATCTATATTCCAGTAACCCGGATGTGACATTACGCCATTATTACATTGTATATAATACATAGGGAGTATCGATATATAAGTATAATATTGGTAGATACTTGGACATTACACGTACGTACATTGAGAACCGATTAAAGACGGGAAGTACACATTGACGCTGCAATTCGGCGTCTTCTACGCCGATCAAGGTACCTTACGCCGATCTGACGCATATCGCGCAAGATGTGCCGGGAGTTTGTTCGAAACTTCTAACAATTCGAAGTCAGTCGTCGGTTGGCACGTATTTTACAGAAATATTAAATCGTGTCATGGGCCTGTTTACCAAATAATGATAAACGAAACATAGAAAACTTGTAAGAACAAACTAGGCCCAAATTGCGCAAATTTGCAAGAAGTTTACGCTACTAGTGTCTTGTTTCGAAGGCGTTCTACGCGTGATTTTATCGCGTTCAAGGACGTTCTATTTTCGAACCAACTGAAACCGGAAATTACACGTGTACTTTCGAATTTCAAACAAAAATTTGATTATCGTTATTATGTGTTAGCATTGACGCTGCAGTTCGGCGTCTTCTACACCGATCTGACGCATATCGCGCAAGGTGTGCCGGGAGTTTGTTCGAAATTTCGAACGTTTCGAAGTCAATTGTCGATTGCCGCGTATTTTACGGATATATTAAATCGTTTCAGAGACCTGTTTACTAAATAATGATAAATGAAACTGCGTGTTTTTATTGCGCTCAAGGACGTTCTATTTTCGAACTAGTTGAAACCGGAAATAACGCAACTACTTTCGAACTTCAAACACAAATTTGATTATCGTTATTATGCGTTAGTTTCTGTTGTTTCAAAGATTGAATTATGTATGACAATAATATTTCACTCTATAAACAATATTTCACTAAAATACGCGATTAAAAAGCAACTTAAATTGGAAAAAAGATTATCAAGTTCCGTGTATAAACACTAGTGTAAAGAGGCGGTGGAGCGCTATTTTAGCCAAAATCGGCTAGTAAGGCGTCATATGACATAGGTCTGTGCTGAGACAGCGCTTGCTGTGACGACACAATGGGGAAGTACATGTATTCCAGGGCCGTAGCTAGCTTTTTTTCACTAGGGGGGCAGCAAATGTTTTTTTTTTAAGTTGCGTATAAATGTATAAAGGCGTAGAGGTGTGCAGTTGCGCCATAAGTCTATGGGGGGTATATCTATCTATTTTTAACAATAACATCATCTTGATATATTTTATGAATATATACAAAACACGGGATATTACAGTATGAACTTTATACACCTGAAACAATTTTGTTCTATCTTCATATATAAGCAACATTAATGTACAGGATTAATACAATTGATAGTTGTACAATACACAGTTTATATTTACAACTTTGGCAATAGCATATAAATTTATCTCCAATTACCTTTCCTTGAATAAATCACTTTTGGGGAAGGAATGATGTCTGTGCCTCGGTGTACTAGTAACATTGCAAGAGCGCTGAGTCTGTCTTGAGCCATGCTAGATCGTGTCCATAACTTTACCCGCCGAAGTGCAGAAAAAGAACTTTCACATTATACGCTTCCGACAGGTGTTGTAAAGAATATTGTGAGAATTCCTAATTTTCGAGTTGTTAGTTTTCTACGGAATTCCGCTAGAGGGCGCATCCAAAATACCCGGATGACGAGCCTGTCTGGGGTTGTTTTTATTGAAGTTCTGTATTCTTACATGCGTAAATCAATAGATTGGAAAAGCAAAAAAATCCAAAACTCCGCAAATTTCTTCAGGATCGTGGTATAACTTGCAGCAATGTTCATAAAGCTACACTTTTTGAACTTGTTGAGTTAGGAAACGAGTTAAATGTTCGCCAAGAGTCAAACAATCGTCGTACTGTAAAACACAGTGAGTCGACAATAACTCTGGTAGATCTGTGTAACGTAAAACCTTCATACTTTGCCTTTGTTTGAAATAGCTGATATGTTCGCATATTTGTTGCATCGAAGTGACTGGACAACAGCCAGACTGAAAGAATATCGACTTGATAATGGTTATTTACTTCATCATTTTCGTAAAGCTTCATCATGTGCAAAATACAGAATTTATTTTTATTATGGCAGAGTGTATTCGGCAATGGTCCATGAAGGAAAATCCTTACAAGCCATGGTTTATTATTAAATCAAACTCTAAAATAGTTTCTGGTGTAACTGTGTAGAGTA